GGGGAAGTTTTCAATACAAATGACAAACATTTTGTCATATGTCTTGGAATATTGCCTGTGGTATTTTTTGCCTTACAAAAGTCTTAAAGTTTTATAGGCTCTAACTTATTGATGGTTTTCTTTATGCCTTCCCCCTCTTAAACAGTATTTTTAATTTACCATCTCATTTAGTGTTTATAATGATTTCATTTCTTCATAGAAGATATTTGACCCACTTGGAATTTATCTGTGATAAAGAGTAGAATAGAGATTCAGGGGTAGTTGGGGGGCTGGGGAGTGCACATGTACACGTGTGAATGAGCATGTGTGTGTGTGTGTGTGTGTGTGTGTGTGTTGTTTGGTCAATCATTAGCTTTTGGAAAAAAATATTTCTATCATCCTTAGATTTCTACTAGAATTTATTCTAAATGGAAAATTATGGAATACTGAATCAATTAATCAATAATACTTACTGAGTTCTATCTTGGCCATAAAAATTACTGTGTTTTCCTCATTAATGAATTTGATCATCCCCTTCGAAATATCTATTACTTTGCCTGCTGCAACTTTATTTATGTATTTTATGAAGCCATTCTGATTAGTTTAAACAATTCAATTGCTTTCAAAATGATAAGATTATTCCTTTTGACAGATCTGTTTCTGTTGTAAAAAGATGATATCACACTTGGCTTGGGACATACCACAGTATCTGAGATGTTCAAGCACAAATGGAAGTATTACATTACAAGGCTTCCCATCCTCAATCGGTTGTTTTCTTCTTTTGTTAATATTTCTTTATTTCTTTCCCTTCGCTCCCTGCTTCCACCTCTCTTCTGGTCTTTATCCCCTGGTCCTTCCCCTGGCACTTTTGCCTTAACTTGGCTTACATATTGACCCCAGTTTCCTCCCTAAAATACTGCTAGGCATATACCAGTCCTCATCTTTCTCTCTGCAAGGACAGTGTCCCCCCAAGCCTGGTGCTTGGAAGAGAGGTCAGGGCTTCCTTTAGCAGTCATCGTTGTTGAAAGGATTTTCACATGTGTAAATCTTTTAGGACATATATTGTAGACAGTGTGTGATCTGCCTCCATCCAGTGTCATCACAGGGACCACCTCATGTGGGACTTTCCCCATCCCTCCCATAACATTTGAACTCAGAGAAAATGAGCAGTGAAGGCCACCCTGAAGAAGAAAAGAAAAGAAGAGGAGTCACAAAGGGGCAGCTTAAGTCTGGAGAAAACGTTGAGATAGGAACAGCATATGACCAGGCAGCCAGCTCCAGCAGTATCGGGATATCCCCACTCACCAGACTCCCGATGTTTTGCTGTTTACTCCTTATGCCAAGATCCTGTACTCAAGGCAATTCTCATCCATTGCGGTTATTTCATAGTTGACTTGGAGAGGGGTGCAGGGGGAGAAGCTAAAGTACTATTGTGTTACTTAACTCAATAATGGTAGATTTAAAAACCAATCTTCATATTTAATAAAGGAAGATAGCTAATGGGCAAAATATGTTCTCATTAAAAGTTGAGGTAGAGAAAGATAAACAAATTTCCCTCCATCCCACCTTCATTACCACCATCATTCCACCAAGGGAAGGTGATGGAGCAATTCTCTGAAGTATTTAAACATAAGTAGCTTAGGAAAAGCCAGTGCTCCATATGCCCTAACCCAGCTTATCCAGTTTCTCTGCACTGATTTAAAGCCAAAGCCCCAGCTTTGAGTCAAGGGGTCATTTGCTTTCCTTTCTTCTCAAACTCATGCATTTTAAGGACCTCATGGGAGGGATGGCTATAATCTGAGGTATGATTTACATTTTCTTGAGAACTTTGGACATAATACAATCACACAGCACCCCAATATCCTTCCCCACCCCAATTTTCAAAGCTGCCATAGTTTTGTCATAATTGTTAGCAGATCCATTTATCAGACTAGCTAAACCATTACTGGACAAAAACTAAGGCCCAGAGGATGGTGGGCTACAAGGAAAGGACCCAGAGAAATTCTGCCAAATCATGATTTCAAATGCCTGGGACTGGGCAAGGTTGGACAGCCTTGGAAACTTTGGTGTTGAGAATTTTTTTCAAAAGAGGTTAAAAGGAAAAAGGCTTGAAACACATCTGTTTTGCAATCATGTCTGTAGAGCAGTGCTTCTCAAACAACCTGTGGGGAAGACCAGGTGTGTTTAGGGGTTTTATTTGTTAAATTGTTTTTACGTACACAACAGAATACTATTCAGCCTTAAAAAAGAAGGAAATGCTGTCATTTGCAACAACATGTACGAAACTGGAGGACATTATGGCTAAGTGAAACAAGCCAGGCACAGAAAGACAAATACTGCAGGATCTCACTTACACTTGTATGTGGAATTTTAAAAATCTGATCTCATAGAAATAGAGAGTTGAAGGATAGTTTCAGTCCATCATGAACTAATATGTTTATACAATACAAATAAATGAAAAAATTAATTACATTTTTAAAGGCATACAAAATGCATGCCCAATTTTGTATTAGATTGAACAAATCACATTTTATTAATAAAAAAGTTAATATAGAGCCATGTTAAGTGGCTTTAACAGTTTCTAAACTAACTCAATTTCTGTCTTCCTCTTGCCTCTATGGATAATTAACACATCGCAGACTGGCACAAGTCTGCACGCCACACTTTGAGAGTCATGGCCCTAGAGGTCATGGCTTATGAATCTGATGAAGCAGGTGTCTGGGCTATTAAAGAAATGTGTCCCAGGAAGGAGAACCACACACACATGGTCTTTGGAACTTCAGGACAGCTGTTCAATAAGGGTCTCCTGAAACACAGGAGGGTCAAAAACAACATCTTTAGGAGGAGCTACCAAGGACAGCTAAACACTACACAGCAAAGGAGAACCGCAAAGCCCCCCACACCCATCCCTGGCTGATGCACCACCTTGCACTTGCTAAGCCCAGCACAGCTGCTGCAAAAGCCGTCCAAAGCAAACAGGGCTCTCCCTGCAGCAGACTCAACAGAACAAAAACCAACACCCAGAAATAAATTAGATCACGAGCTCATCATGTTACACAGCCCACTGTTCTCAAATCCAGGATTCTGAATATAATAACAAATGATACTATTAACTAGCACATACTATTAACAAAGCCAAAATCAAATAACTTGTTACTATAAACCAACACAATTCTCAGAATTTTCCAGGTCAGCTATAACAAAGAGTTATGAGACTGTCTTCCCAACTGAACTAAATCTCACCCATGTCTAATTGCAGTGTGCATAGCTAAATCCTTTTTCCCTTCTGTACAGCCAGCCTGCCTCTTAGAGCATCTAAGATGCCCTAGGGAACTTCTCAAAGCAGGACAGGCGTGTGGTCAGATTGAAAGGAATGTGGAGCCAGGAGATGGCACATAAGGGTTTAAGGACCACCTGCTACTTCTGTAATCTCAAGCAAGTCCCTGAGCTTCAGTTTCTTTATCCACAAAACAAAACTAATGCCAGCCACCTTCCTGGAAGTACAGCTGAAAACGTTTAGCAATTTGTAAAATGCTATGTGGATGTTAGTCCTCACTTCACAGAAACAACCAGCCGAGAGATGATTTTTAACCATGCCCTCCACATAAATCTTTGTCTTTTACACAGTTTATTTCTTCCCTATAATTCCAATCATTTCTACATGTCACATGCCATCTTTTTCATGTTCCAAACATCACTGGGGTTTAGTAGGAAAGCGGCATCATCATGTCCCCCTTACAACTTAGAAAAGTGGTACCCGAGGCACCCATCCAAGGCACATCGACAGTGACAGAGAAGACCTGAAAACTCACAGGGACATCTGGGTGGAACTAACAAGTTAGGTTTATTAAGTCTGTGGCTTTTCTTAATCTGGCTCCTCCTTGTCTCACCTCTACTCTCTCTGGCAGGAAGTCACTGTTCCGTGTGGGTTTTGTTCAGTCTGTTTAATATGCAGAAAGCTTTACCTTAATGTCATCCAGAGAAACCCATATGTTTTGCAGCAAACTCATCCCTAGTCATGCCATTTCCTCTAAATATGATCAAATTTGGATAAATTTTAGTTACATTTTTGGGAGATTTCATAACATTATTAAAGGGGAACACTGGCAACATATTTTTGATTCAGAGTCTCTCTTTTACTTATTTTTAATTGAAAATGACCATGTGTTTATCTAGGGCCTTAATAACAATATATTTTAAAATCAAGGACTGCATTTCATCATTCTCTCCAGGAACAGATGACACTGTATTGCCAGGACTTCTAAAAAGTCCTTTCTCCTTCACTACAAAAGGCATGAGACTTAAGATTCTACAAGATTCTGTTTGCACTGGGTAATGACCAACAGTGCAAATGTTATAAAATGAATACAAATAGATAAACCGGGTACCAGAGCCCCAATCACTTTCTGGAAATACTGGCCAAAATTTGTATTGAATAAACAGATATTACTTTCTTTTTTCAAAGTATATGCATTCTATCTTCATTTTTTTTTAATAAAGTAGATTCAGGTTTTAGCTAAACAACACTGTCAAGCAACCATGATCTGTGCAAGGTTCCATGTGTCTCTTCATCATAAATCTATGTCCAAATGAAAAATAGAGAAGAATGAAATATAATAGGCATCATTTTATGCCAGGAAAAAATAGATAATATTGCTTTAGAGCAACGAACATCTTTGAACTCTGTATGCAACTTCATTAAGCTCTTATGGCTTACATATTTTTTATTCTTTTGCCATTTATAACATGAGTTCTCTTATACAGATACTGCAGATGGTTATCTCCAGAAGTGAGTTCTTTATTGCACACAGTTTTTTTTTGAAAAACTGCTAAAAACATAGACTTGAAACCCTCTAAACTGATATACACATTTAAACTTAGGTGTGAAAAATCTTACCTCCAGATTACTTGTGGTGAGGAAGTTTAAACTTGCAAGAACAAAACTAAGTCTTCAGAATCTTCTTCCTTCATCAATAGGATCAGAGTATTTCACCTGGACTTCTTACATCTAAGTCATTAGAATGACTAGGTTTTATTATTTTTCTCTATTTTTCCTAATAGCTGGGTCTTATATGACTCAAGAAGTTAAGTATCTCTTACACTCCCAAATGTAAACCTTAAATGAATTTCTAGTGATTATATTTTTACATTATAGATGAAAATGATCTTCGCAACCATTTCTATTCATCTAAATTGTAATGTATTTTACAATTGTTTATTAGTAAAATTATAATAACTATTAGGTAGGGTTGTTTTTTGATCTTTGAAAATAATACAGTGACTGTCAGAAGAATTACATGAAAGAGTCTCCTTGGATCTTTTATGTGAAATCTTTTGGTTTACTTTTGTAGGTTTCAATATGGAAATTATTGGAGGGAGAGAAGTGTCACCTCATTCCAGGCCATTTATGGCTTCTATCCAGTGTGGCGGCAGTCACGTTTGTGGAGGAGTTCTGATCGATCCACAGTGGGTGCTGACAGCAGCCCACTGCCACTCTCGGTGAGTCCCCTACACTGTTCCACGTACATGTTTTTCCTTCAAGTTTGCTAGAAGAGAAGCTCACCTCTCCTGGGCGAGAGTTTGATCTACTGCTAGCTTCTGTGATCACTGACCAGCTGGCGGGGTTTATTTCCCCTCCTGCACCTCCAAGTTTTCTGCGTGGCATTTTCCATTTGGGGGAGAGCTGGGTTTCTTTTCCCAGAGAAGCCATTAGACAAATTCAAGTCCTCCATAAAATGCCAGGGAGCACAGCGACAGTAATAACTGAAGCAGCAGTATTCCTGACCTCATTAGGTCAGGAAATCAGACAACCTGAGCTTGCTCTGTGCTCCTCAGCCTCTTCATTTTAGGGATGGGTAGTACTAATAACAGTACCTGCTTTATGGGGTTTTGAGAATTAAATAGTATCTATTTAAGTATTTTAGCACGCCTGGCACATTTAGTAATTACAAAGAAGTTGCAGCTGTGATGATGATGATGTTGCTGTATGAGAAGTCTGCTTTGCTAGTAGATTTCTAAACCCCTCACATTAAATCCTCACCAGAGTTTGGGAATCACAGCTGTAAGGGGCAACAACTTTCCCAGGTAGAGCTGGCACATTTAGTAATTACAAAGAAGTTGCAGCTGTGATGATGATGATGTTGCTGTATGAGAAGTCTGCTTTGCTAGTAGATTTCTAAACCCCTCACTTTAAATCCTCACCAGAGTTTGGGAATCACAGCTGTAAGGGGCAACAACTTTCCCAGGTAGAGTGAAAAAGCTATAGATGATTTGTGAAAAGAGAGAGGGAGAGAGGGAGAGAGTTATTTTTCTGTGATACTCAGAATGAAAGGTTTTCTGAAGACATGTGCAACCTCACAAAGTCCCTTTCAGCCTAGGATTCTCTTACTTCAGCTAATGGGTGCAAAACCCATCTTGGGATGCTGCAACCATCACCAAAGGAAAAGCAGTGGAAAACTAATTTGGTAGTTGTTGTTTTGTTTGTTTGCTTGGGTTTTTTGGGGTTTTTTTATCTGTATGTTTGTCTCCTTGTGTTTCTTGCCTGAATAAGCTGAGATGGAGCCATCTCCTTTCCTTACAAACATCACAGCACTTAAGAATCTGTCTTAGGGAGCTGGCCAGTTGCTCAGTTGGTTAGAGTGCAGTGTTATAACACCAAGGTCAAGATCCCCAGACTGGCCAGCTGCCAAAAACACAATAAGAAACTATCCTAATCATAATGGGTTGCTTTCTAGGCATCAGCTTTATATGAACAAGACAATTAGACTGGCTTGCTTCTCCATGCTTTGGGGGTTTGTTTGATTGCCCTCTTTTAATGTAACTGTTTGAACAAAAATTGGAAGTTTTGAAGCCTGTAAACAGGGAGGAACTTCTGTTTTATTTCTAAATGGCAAGCCATTGATTTCCAATTTAATATGGTTACTTCATTAAATGGAGTTCTTGCCATCATAGAAATCACCTGCCTGTCCTCATCACTCTGTGCTTTTCTCCAGGGCACTTGGTGCTTCAGGAACAGTGAGGCAGAGGGTGACTGTCAATACATGTTCATTCAATGCAAAATATGCACATCTTCAAAATATGCACATCTTCAAATACTCCATACTACACATTCATATGGGCTGTAACCTCCCCAGACACAAAGCTTGACTTATAAATGCTCTATGCTCATACTACACATTCATATGGGCTGTAACCTCCCCAGACACAAAGCTTGACTTATAAATGCTCAACAAATGCTGGATGGAAAGAAGGAAATGAATTGAAGGATTTTTCCTTTTGCTAAGCCTAAAACACAGTGCACAAAGAAGTCCTTCACAAACCATACCATGCTATAGGAAGGTAAATAATATTATTTAGTCAAATTTTAAATTTTGTCAAGTGGACTTAGGAAAAGTGGATTCTCAAATTGGGCAAAAGAGATTATTAAAAAAGACTGAAGGGAGGTTGGAGTTTTTTTAAAAAAATAAAAAAAAACTATTGCTACATATCATTTTAAATGGCTGGAGTATAAAGAACTCCAAAATATGCGGATTGAATTTCCTCTACAGGACACTTGGGTGTAAAAATGTAGGCAGATCGGTGCTTGGAAAAATATTAAGCTTTCTGAAATCCAAAATATGTCTGAAATAGCTCAATGGTGGCTTCCCACAAATGTACTCTCAAGTATCCTGCGGGAATAGTTTAGTAACCCCAGGCCTCTCTCTCAGCAAAATGGTGACGTGAGCCAAAGGGAGGGGGGGTGCAGGGGGTCCTTCTCACCACCCATCCACACGGTTCCTCCCCTAGTGTCTTGGCCCCTTTGTTAATTGCTATGTCAAATATAAAGAGAAACTGGTAAAGAGCTCCCTGCACAACTATAATCTTATTTTCAGCATTTAATTTACCAGAACCGAAACTCTTGCCAACTGCCGTCCACAGTCCTCCGAAGGCTCCTCCAGTGCCTCCTCCTTTCACCTGCCTCGCAAGTTTGTTTCTAGACAGAACCTTCTACAGCCCCTCCACACGACCTCACTCCAAAAAACACTCAAGTCTCCCTGAGTAAGACAGTTAAGTGTTCAGGCTCTGGATTCAAACCAAATGAGTGGTAATCCTGCCTGGGTTTGCATCCTAGAGCCTCCACTTCATATCTGTGGGATGTTGTCAAGTTTGTTAATTTACCTGAACCTCAATTTCCTCATCTATGAAATGGGGATCAGAATAGTACCTACTCACAAGGCTGTTGGGAGTTTTAAATGAGGGAAAATGTGAAAAATGCTTAGCACAGAACACAAGAACTTAATAGATGTTACCAAGTATTGTCATGTTATTATCTGTGCTTTCCATGGTAACCACTGAAGAACTAATCTGGTGATCCAATTATGTTGATGGGATAGGATTGGGACAACCTCCCTCTCTGACAGCCAGGTCCTTCTCTCTCTCTTAGGCAAGAGAAAGACCTCCAAGAAATAGGACCCCTGCCTTTGCTGCAGACCTCAAGGAGAACCACTGCTCAGTGCCAAGGCAGGCTGGCAGAGAAAACAAGGAGGAGTTGAGGAAAGAGAACTGGATTGGAGTCACAAAATCTGGATTTGGGTTCTGATTCTCTTACTTATGAGTGAGTCACCTTGGACCAGTCACAGAACACCCTTTTACTTTTACTAGTGAGGAATACACAACCCATCGGCTTTAGCAACACTGAGAAAGATTATTAGTCCCAATCAAGACAATGTTCACAGACGTCTTAGGCAGACAATGAAAACACTAATTGTAAGCAATACTGTAGTTCTGATCTGTATGGAATTCTGTTCCAGGTAAGTAGAGAGTGAGACTCAGGAAGCTACATTTTAAACAAACACCTCCAGGTGATTGTGAAGCCGATCTGAAGGCCACACTTGGAGAAACAGTACGTAGTGCAAATGAAAGACACTAGTAGTATTATATCTGTGTACGAATTCAGATGTAGGTTTATCTAAGGAGGTGGGATCCTAGAACTCAGGTAATTCCAGTCATCTCATGGGCAGAAAAATTGACCTTAGTACAGATTACAGGTGAAGGGTATCTAGAAATTAAAAGTTCAGAAAGCATAATGGTCTGCTTGAAAACAAAAACAACCAAAACATTTCAAAGACAATCACTAGGCAACGAAATTAGTAAAAGATGAAAGAAAACCAGAAATTTTCTCAGCACCCCTTTCTTAATCAGAATCCACTTTCCACTCCCCACATTTGTACCTCATAGCCTTCCTTATGTGAGTTACTATGCACGTAGCCACTCTTCTGTTAGCGTATTAATCCTGGGCATTTTAAGTCATACTTGCCCTCCAAAGCTTTGGGTTTAGTAGGTATATTAAATTTGAATTCGAATCAATCCTAGGAAATCCAATCCACATCCTATGAGAAATTTCATCCCCCATCCTGATTTTGCAATAGGCAAACTTTTCAACAAATAGAGCTGGAATTCCAAAAATAAACTAAAATAAATTATTTTGGCAAAAACCATGAAGTGGTAATTCCAGGCAGTCACAACTCTGCCATACACAAACCTTCCCCACCACAGTCATGTGCCCCTTCTCCCAACCTGAAACAATCATTTCTTCCTTTTTCTGTAGGTTTCTGTGCTCTTTTTAATTTTTATTACTTCATTAATCTATACGTATGAGTAGGTGTGGGTTTTTTTTACTGTAATCTGCTTCAATTCCTTTTTCAAGTAGCAAAGAAATAGTTATATGTAAACAAATAAGTATAATTATTTTTATAACTTTCCTTATTCTTATAAAGGATTTGAGATGGCTTCCATAAAGACACATGCTAAATGGGATATATCGGTAGTATACAGATGGCTCCAAGGTGTTGTCAAGATCTCCAAACAATTATTTCTATTCCCATCACGGGCTATAAATGTAATTTTATACAACATACAGTAAATCAGGTCAATTGTGGCACTATTAGAATGGTGGCACTAGAACTGTGTACAACCAGGGATTAAAAAAAAAAAAAAAAGGAAACTGTGTTTCTTCACCTGATTCACCAATCTGTACCATGTAAATCTCCACAATAAATTATCAATGGCTACTAACCTTAAAGTATCTTCATTTCAAATTAAGGAAACTGTGTTTCTTCACCTGATTCACCAATCTGTACCGTGTAAATCTCCACAATAAATTATCAATGGCTACTAACCTTAAAGTATCTTCATTTCAAATTAGCAATGTTTTTTCACCTCAAAGAAAGTTTTCCTTTCTTGTCCAAAACATCTTTCTAATTGAGGGGACAGGACATACGAGCATATTTGACCACCAAGTAATGGGCCGTATTTCCCCACGTTGCCCTGAGATGAGGTCTAGACATAGAGACAAGCAAGTGCGGAGTTGGGTCTTCACCTTAGTTATTAAAAATCTTAACGTTGGGAAGACTAAAAAGTTCTGGAGATGGATGAAACTGATGGATGAGCAACAATGTAAGTGTACCTACTGCCACCAAACTGTACATTTAAAAATGGTTAAAATGGTAAATTTTGTTATGTATATTTTACCATCATTAAAAAAAAAGGGTAGTTGGTATAAATCTCAAATCACAAACTCAAAAAATGTAGTTTTCTTTATTTTTACATAAATGAACACAAATTTGTTGTAGACTTGATCCACGTCAGTTAGGATTTCACCACTTTTTTCCCACAGTTGGATACAAGTTCTGACATTCTTTTGCAATGCCAGGCAACTGGGCTGGGCTGGGGTTGAGGGCAAGTCATTTGATATCATCCATTCATGCTGGGATCCACTGAGACCTCTGTCACTCTACCCAACCCTAAGCAGGTTACCCTGGAGTTTGCCTTGTTTCTGTGTATATGTGACCCTCTTCACCAGCTCCACTCCCTGCAAGGGGATTTGGAAATCATTTCGTTATTTCCATTCTCTTTGCTTTTTTAGGTTCACCAAAGGCGAGTCTCTCACAGTGGTTTTAGGAGCACACTCTCTCTCAAAGCATGAGGCCTCCAAACAAATGTTTGAGATTAAGAAATTCATACCATTCTCAAGATTTATATCAGATCCTAAATCAAATGATATCATGCTGGTTAAGGTAGGTAACATTTCCTTCCTTCCATTTCTCCAACATTCTTATATGGCATGGCCCAGTTAATTAAATGATCCACACAATAGCATTTTGTTAGCACCCTCCCCAGTTTCAGGTAACAACACATTCTATAAGGGCCCATGTTACTCCGTATAATGCCTTGAAAGAAACAAAATTTTATCACTAATGTATCAAGGCTATGTTTATACAAGGAAAAGCAGAAACTCTGATTCTCACATATGTAGGAGGGGAATATCCCAAAAGTCCCAAGGATTCACACCGAAAGCTTTTTTCCCCAAAGCTTTTCTCATTAGCAAGTGAAAAATACAACAGTCATTTATACAACAGAGCCAACCAAGTGACTTCAGGGACTCAAAAGTGAATTACATCTTAGTCTAGACCATACTTAGTCTAGTCCAAACTTAGTCTAGACCATACTCAAGTGTCCTATCCAGCAGGAAACAGCCCAGCCCTCAAAGTCATGACCTATGGATGTTATTCCACCAAAAAAAAATTTCAAGGCAGGGCAAAGGCCAGTTTGCTCAAGACTAGGCAAAATTCCTACTCTGTATTAGCTCCCTCCCCAAGCATCAGTAAGCTCCACAGGGAATGGAGAGCATGATCAGAAAAGCAACAACCACAAATGCAGCTGCAGGCTACCACCAAAGTAGTTTCAAGAAAAGGGACACCCTCCTAAGACAAAGGGACCACACATACACACATACAATGCACAGGCTAATAGCAGAATACTTCTGGGAAAGAATGATAATTTCTTCTTTTTTTTCAATATGTCAGCTTCACATGGCTGCAAAACTCAACAAGCATGTCCAGCTGCTCCACCTAAGAACCAAACACTATATCAGAGCCGGAGCCAAATGCCAGGTTACTGGCTGGGGATCCACCAACCCAGAGTTTTTTAGCCCCTCTGATACCTTGCGAGAAGTCACTGTCACTGTCATAAGTCGAAAACTTTGCAACAGCCAAAGTTATTACAACCACAACCCTGTTATAACCAAAGACATGGCATGTGCAGGAGACGCCAGAGGAAAGAAGGATTCTTGCCAGGTAAGAGTCTCTCATCCAAACAGGCACCTCAGAGCACTACACTGCAGTCAAAACTCCATTTGCTCATGAACATTGAGGAGAGGCATGGAGAACACAAAACCACAATTCTAAAAACTTCCTCTCTGTTCCCACACAACATTTCCTATCAGTCAAAACTCCATTTGCTCATGAACATTGAGGAGAGGTATGGAGAACACAAAACCACAATTCTAAAAACTTCCTCTCTGTTCCCACACAACATTTCCTATTCTTTTTCATCTACCAATGTGAATGGGTCATAAGAACTTCCCATTGCTTAATAAGTACTCATTAAATGTTTGTTAATCAAGATAATAGAGTATATCTGACAGTTTTTACATACTTCCTAAGAGAGGAGTTAGCATCTCTAGAAAGTCTACCAACCCTGAAGTCACTAGTGGTGATTAGAAAATAACACATGCAAAGAAGAACTACCTTTTAAATTAATCACTAGGGAGGCCTTATAAGACTCAAATGCAAAAAGTTCAAATGTACAGTATGTGTTTCTCAAATAATGTTGACTAACTGAATGTCTTAGTCTGTTTGGGCTGTTAGAACAAAATATCATAGACCAGGTAGCTGATAAATAGCAGAAATTTGCTTGTCACAGTTCTGGAGACTAAAAAGCCCAAGATCAAGGCACCAGCAGATTTGGTGTCTGTTGAGGGCCTGCTTTCTGGTTCATAGATGGCTGTGATTCTTTTTCACTGTAACCTCACATGGTGGAAAGGGTCATGGCTCTCTCAGTCCTCTTTTATAAGGACACCAATCTCATTCATGAGGGCTGTGCCTCCATGACCAAATCAGCTCCCAAAGACCCCACCGCCTACTACCATCACCTTGGGGGTAAGGATTTCAACATATGAATTGAGGGGGGACTCAAACATTCAGAACATAGCACTGACTGACAAAGAGGAACAACAGTTATTATATTTTTCAAAATCTTTTTTTATTTTTACTGAGATAGTGAAAGAAAAAAATGTGTTCATGTTTCTAGGTGACTAATATGTAGCATCGATGGGTTACTAACTTTAAAGAAATTAGAATACCATATTCACATCCTTCTATGTTAAGCATTATTTGGAGGAGGGGCCTGATGACTTTAAAGGTCCTGTGTATCTGTGACACCCCAAAACCATCATCCTTCTAAACATCAGTTGTCATGGCACTGCAGTTTGCAGTGTGACAGGCAGCAGAGGCAAAGGCTGTCCTCCAAATTTAAAAGCCAGCTCTTTATCTGAAAAGCCATGCCATCTCCTCTATAACTCCTTTACTTCTCTTCACAGAATTGAGTTACATGTTTTGTTAGAGTTCTCAAAAATTATTTTATTCAACAAGTATTTACTACGTATGGTACAAATACGTAATACTATGTTCAACCACATAAGGACGTTAAAAAAAAAAAAGGAAAAAAAATAGTAGAAAAGATATAGTTCCTGCCATCAAGACATTTACCACAATACATTGCTCTTTTCTGCCAGTCTCAATAGCAAATAGATTTCAGGTCTATGAGCACCAAAATGAAATTCACAATTTAAAAACTTTCTTCTATTTCAGTGGATCATATCAATCCATTCATTCTTTAAAAAATACAATTCAATAGTCACTGATTACCAAAGGAATGTGTATATATATAGACACAGATGGAGACATAACAGAGACATAAACATGGACAGAGACAGAGACAGAAACATGAACAGAGAGAGAGAGAGAAAGAGAAACAGACAGACAGACAGAAACAGAGCCCTAGAGAGAGACAGAGACATAGAGAACATGTACTGAGTAAAAGGCTGTGTCAGGCACTCTTCAGGACACAAAGAAACCAAGGACCCAGATAATAATCCCTTGAGTAATCAACAGTTGGTAGTAGAAAAATCTCAACAGCTTCTAACTAAGTATCTGCCCATTTTCTTTTTTACAGGGTGACTCAGGTGGCCCCTTGGTCTGTAAAGGTGTCTTCCATGCCATAGTGTCTGGAGGTTATAAATGTGGTATTGCCAAGAAGCCTGGAATCTATATCCTATTAACCAAGAAATTCCAGGCTTGGATCAGAAGCAAGCTTGCCCCCTCTCATGCAAATTAAGATTACAAATATATTTTTTTAATCTGTAAGTAATTTGCTTCTTTTTTTCATAGTATGCTTACAGGTCAACTTTATCTTCAGATGTAGTTGAATGTACATAAAGCGGAACATAATCAGGGTCTATTTCTGTACCCTTGAGACTCATTTTGTTAAGGAATCAAGTTCTTTTTCACATGTATCACTGATGTATTTCTACCATGCTGATTTCATTCTAAATAAAATTTAAAAGATTCTCTGTTTGTCTTTTGTAGACATAAGATAATATCTGCCCCCCATTCCACCCACACTCCCCAAAGGGCAATGAGGTAACTAAATGCCACAGTAATGGTACCACCTTAGACCAGGTTTATGCTGTGATTCTGCTGGAGCATCCTAAGTTGTTGGGGTTTTTTAATTGTTGTAAGAACATTTAACATGAGATCTACCATCTTAATACATTTTTAAGTGTACACTACAGTACTGTTAACTATAGGCATAATCATGTACAGCAGATCTCTAGAATTTACTCATCTTGTGTAACTGAAACTTTATACTAGTTGAATAGCAACTTCTCATTTTCCTCACCCCCCAGCCCTTGGCAACCACCATTCTACTCTAAGCTTCTAAGAGTTTGGCTAGCCGAAGTTTTTTTTTTTTTAAATAAATAGTAAATACAAACACTCCAACTTGAGAAAGAATCATCAAGATTTATACAAATATTGGATAGTATTTATTATTTATTTGTCATATTTTGTTCCAGAAAGAATTTAAAGCAATGTACGAAAACACCTGAAATAAAACAAAATACAGAATTGAAAATTGGTGAAGTTATTGGGGCAAAGGGGAAATAAAAGTAAGAAAGATAAAGGCAGGAGTGTCTATATGGCACTCACAGTGCCATAACTTTCTTTCTATACAACCGCTAAAAGGTTTCACATTTGGCTCTGTGCTTCGACCAATGCAAAAAGATCAACACAATCAGTTTATGAATTACAGTATCCAGGAAATAAAAATAAATTGTTTGCCCAGAAGCAGAACCACTGGTTCTAGAACTGAGACTAGAGACAATTTCTTCCATGATCCTCTTAGGATCCATCTTAGGAAGGACACTGTGCCATGTTTCCCATATCCCTACCAACTGCATCAGAATCACCAGAGATTATCTGTAACATAGACTGCCTTGACCTCTTGCCCAGTAATTCAGATTGAATAGGGTTGAGGTAGGCCTGAAAATCTGGATTGCTTAAAAGCAATTCAGTTGATTCTGATAAATGGGCAAATCTGGAAGCCCCTGATAATGAACATCCTTAACATCTTATGATAAAGACAAAATGAGTGTCAAGGGGTTGTTTTTTACAAATCCTTCAGAGTGAATGGATGACTTAAGACCAAAGTGCGATTCAGTAAAATTACTGGAGGATCTCAGCTATCTCGGACTGTGGTTGTCCATTTAGTAGTAAATTTCTAATTTGGGAGGAGGAGTATGGTGGCAGGTGGAGAGACTTTCCTCCTTCAACAACCAGAAACCAAAAGATTAATCTCAGTTTCTATATTTAATCTGGGCTTTACAGGATATATAGTCCTTGTTTCCAAGTGACATCATCAATTTCTCTTGCATACATATGGAAATAGGTGTTTTTGTTTGTTTGTTTATTTTCTGTCGTGGTTGTTAGCAGTACTAACTACTCTGCACTGTGTTTAAAAAGCAACTTAACTAGAATTATAGAACTGCTTTGAGAATAAAATAATAAAAGAAGTTTCTTTAAATATTCCATCTTGTGGGCCGGCCCAGCGGCGCACTGGATAGTGCACCGCTTGGGAAGCGCGGCGGCGCTCCCGCCCGAGGGTTCGGATCCCACATGCAAACCAGTTCCCGCTTGCTGGCTGGGCGGGGCGCGGGGGCAGCCCCAAGGGTTGCGGTCCCGTTGCCGGTCCCCGGTCC